TGGGCAGTGTCGCCCTAGAGACTCCAACAAAGAGAAGGCTCAGGATGGGGCTGGCCACCTCCTCTCCAGGGAAGAAAGTCTAAGAACAGGGCTCTTCATGAAATCAGGTGGTGGCAAGGTGAGCCCCATTTGACATCACTTTCAAAGATGCATGACTGTGATTAGGCAACAGACTTTATGGCTGAAGAAAGTAGCTTGTAAATTAGTCACATGCCCAAGAGACATCATTGCTCCTTTGGTTCACTTAGGGTTTACTAACTTAGGTTCTGGAATTTGCTTTCTTTTTTCCCCTCTTCTGTATCCTACTCTTATGAGGTGAGAGATATCAGTTGCGGAATAGGGGAGCAAGGAGAAGGAAGAGGACAATTATCAGTGATTAAAGCAACAAGAAAGAGAGAAAAGGACAGAGACCAGGCAGAAAGATCTCATTGGCTTTAACAAAGTCTTTTTCTTTCTTTCTTTCTTTCTTTCTTTCTTTCTTTCTTTCTTTCTTTCTTTCTTTCTTTCTTTCTTTCTTTCTTTCTTTCTTTCTTTCTTTCTTTCTTTCGTTCTTTCTTTCTTTCTTTCTTTCTTTCTTTCTTTCTTTTTTTCTTCCTTCCTTCCTTTCTTCATTTCTATTATTTTATTATTATTATTATTGCCATCACCATTATCATTGAACTCTGATTTCTTGTTCCTGGAAAGCCACAAGCAACTACTTCTGTTTTGTAAATTAGGAAAAGGGGGAAGAAACTATTGATTGATTTCCAGAGATCAATAGAAAGCATGAGAAAGAGAGGAGGGGCAGGTTTTAGGGGCAAATCTGTGAGTTGGAGAGGAGGTCCCAGTAAGGGGAATTAGGTTGTGTTAGCAGGGATCCACCCTGGGATCTCCCCACTTCAAGGACTTGGAGGGGAGATGGTGGTTCTCTAAGACACCTCTTTGTATACCTTCAGCTTGTTAAAATCCATCAGCAACTGATTGAAAAAATTTTCTAGCTGTTTGGCTGTGAACTCAATGGTGTTTTCTGGGAAAAGGCATTGGTGGTGTTACAGGCCTTGCATTCTGGGAGCAGAGAATTCTTAATTCCAAGGACACATAGCGCCAGGAAGCTGAAGCGAGAGCACACCTGAAAAATAGTATTCTCTTTAAGTCTTGCCACTGCTCATCAACCTTCAAGGGGCTCCAATTATTCACTAAATCAAAACCTAATCTGAGTCTGCCACTAGCCCTCTCCCCAGTCAGGAGATTGTGGTTATCTTTACATACTGCTTCTTTTTATTTTCATTTTTTAAAGATTTATTTACTTTTATTGTGAAGGCAAATTTACAGAGAAGAGATACAGAGAGAAAGATTTGTCTGCTGGTTCACTCGCCAAATGCTTGCAATGGTTGGAGCTGAGTTTATCCAAACTCAGGAACCAGGTCCTGAATTTGGGTGTGGCAGGGTGGGGGACAAGTGTGGAATGCTATGAACTGAATTGTATTGCACCCCCTGAAATTTATCTCCCTTCAGAGCATGCTTTTTTGTTTTTTTGCTGTTCATAATGCAGGCAGGCTGGGGATTTTCTGTCTTTAATATTTGGTTCTTTTTGGTGTAAACTTTACTTATTCAATTCATGTGCTCTTCCCCTTGCATTCTAAGATAAGTAGTTTAGAGTAACTAAATTTATCCTTTATCACTTTAAGAAATGGCCTCAGCTAAATACCCAATTTAGCTCCTCAGAAGTTCTGTTTTCCACATGACCTTAAACCTTTCCTCCTATTTCCAATAGTTTGTTCCTTATTTCAGCCCAGAACTTGCCATCACGACCCTTACGTAAAACCGGTGTGCGTCAATACTTAGTTCACAGCATCTTGAGGTTTTTCTACCACCCACCTCAAAACTTCTCTAAACTACAACCCTTATCCAGTTTAAAGATCCTTTCAGATTTTCTTAAAGATTTATTTTATTTTTATTTTGAAGTCAGAGTTAGGGAGAGAGAGAGAGATATCTTCCATCTGCGGGTTCACTTCCCAAATGGCCACAATGGCTGGAGCTGAGTCAATCCAAAACCAGGAACCAGGAGCTTCTTCCAGGTTTCTTACTTGGGTGCAGGGTCCCAAGGACTTGAGCCATCCTTTGCTGCTTTCCCAGGCCACAAGCATGGAGCTGAATGGGAAGTGGAGCAGTTGGGATATGAATTGGTGCCCATATGAGATATCAGTGCTGTGGGCAGAGGATTAGCTTCTTATGTTAACCATGCTGGCCACTTGGCTTTTGCTTTTACACTTTCATGTATTTGTTACAGCAGCACCTTGCTTCTCAGCCCTCAAATCTGTCACAGGCAGGTGGGGTGCCATAGGCCAGGTGGCTTAACCACAACAATGTATTTTCTCATTGTCTTGGAGGCACAAACCTGGGGCCAGTGCGTCAGGCCAGTTGACTTCTGGTGAAGGCCCAGTTTGCAGGAGAGAGGATTCCAATGTTCTTCCTTTTGTGAGAACTCCAGCATAATCCTAGCAGGTTAGGACTTCAACTTATGGTCTCATTTAAGCTGAATTACCTCCTAAAAGCTCTCTCTCCAAAAATAGCTACACTGGGAGTTTAGCATTACACTGGGAGGGTTTTTGGGGTAAGTGGGCAAATTTAGTTCGGAGCACTCTGCCGAGTAGTTAAATGCCTCCATCCCTAGCACAGTATCCTGCACAGAGTGGGTGCTTTGTGAATGCATGGTGAATCCAAAGACATTGAACTCCAAAGCCCCTGAGGAGTTATTTTTACAAGCCCTGCTCCTCTGGCTTTGGAGGCTACTGAAATCCCACAGCCATTGGGAGGTCAAGAGAAAGTGAGCATGCTTTTGCAGGAAGAGGACTGGAGAAACTGAGCCACTGCTATGGAAGCTCAGCTCCAACGGGCAAGATCGATGGCAGGCTGTTGTTCCTTCTCAAGAGAAATTCCACATAGTTTTTAAAAAATAGTTATTTGAGAGAAAAGGAGAGGGGAGAGAGTGTGCACGAGCAAGTGAGCTCTGGTATCCACTGGATCACTCCCCAAACGCTCACAGTAGCCAGGGCTGGGCCAGACCAAATCTGGAGCCAAGAATTCACTTCAAGTCTCCCTCATGGATGGGAGGAACCCAATTACTTGAGCCATCACCACTACTTCCCAGGGTCTGCATTAGCAGGAAGCTGGAGTCAAGAGCGACGGTGGATTATCCAACCAAAGTATTCTGATATCTTTCATGGATGTCTTATTTGGTGTCCTCAGTGCTAGGCCAGGCACCTATCCTGTCTAGTTTGGGATGCTAAGAGCAGCAATACTTATTCCAAACATTTGGATTAGGAATATAGGTGTCACCTGGACTGTGAATTGTGCATCTGAACAGGCTGCCTCTAGAAGGCCTGGCCAAGCTGCTGCACGGGTCCCTGTTGCTAGACATTTCTCACCTCCTCCACAGACTGGCTTTATGTTCCCATCCATATTCTTCTATCTCCTTTTTTCCTACTTTCTTTTTTTCCCTCTCTACTTACAATGTAGGCAATATTGTCATGCTTTTAGTAACTTCAAGGTTTACAGCATTCTATGAATCTTTTCAGAAGCAATGAGAAGTTTAAATGAATTTTAAAAATAAATAATATTGCCCATACATAACCTGAGAAGGACCAACGTTCAAATGGCTAAATGCAGGAAGCAAAGTCACACATGAGCCTGGCATGGGGTGAAAAAAAAATCCCCAAACTCTCTGTATCTTAAATGGCCAATTAGTTATTGAGATCATCCTTATAATAAACTGTGTAAGTAACTGCTCATGGGTCAGTATTATGGCCTAGTGGATTAAGCTGTTGCCTGCAATGCTGGTATCTCATGTGGGTGCTGGTTCAAATCCCTGCTGCTGCACTTTCAATTCTGCTATCTGCTAGTGTGCCTGAAAAGTAGAGAGAATGACCCAAGTGCTTGAGTCCCTTTACCAACATGGGAAATCCAGATGAAACTCCTGGCTTCTGGCTTTGTTCTGACCCAGCCCAGGTTGTTACAGTCATTTGGGGAATTAATCAGAATATGGAAGATTCTTTCTCTCTCTCTCTCCCTTTGTGTGCCTCTACCTTTTCAAGAAATAAAAATAAAAACTTAAATGAAGTTCTCTTATACCCATTTCTACTCAGTCCCCATTGCATTGTAACAAACAAATGAACAACAACAGCAAAAGTTTAAAATTCCCATTACAGATGAGAAAACAGAAGCTCATGGAGATTAGGAAGCATGTCTGACTTCTGAGTTGTGGTAATGGTGTTCAAATCATGGTCCTCTGTTCCTAGAAACACCATCCTTTCCATTCTGTTTGCTTGCTTTTAAGATGGGGGCTAAATACCCAGAAGACTGCTCATGGGGAGTGGGCTGAAAGGTATCATTCCATTCTGTTTGCTTGCTTTTAAGATGGGGGCTAAATACCCAGAAGACTGCTCATGGGGAGTGGGCTGAAAGGTATCATTCCAGTCAGACCTAGCCTTCGGGGACTCTTGTCCAGAGATGAGGGAATTCAAGGCTCCCAGCTGGAACTGACCCGAGACAAGGGTCCAGCTCCTGGGAAGAGGCAGCTGCTGGAGCCTTTTGCACAGCTGGGACATATGTGGACCTCAACCAGCCAGCTCGGTTGTGAGGCCAGGCCAAGAAGAATGAGTATGACCACTGAGAACTGAGCCATAAACCCTGCTAAGTGTTGGAAATAGAGACAGACGGGATGGATGAGGCTTGGGGTACCCACAAGGCCCCCATAAGAATGTCTAGTATGCAACAGCAGAGCTGGGCCTTGGCTTTGAGGATACACCTGGGCCTGGCAGAGCAGGACTTCCCAGTTCAGAAAGCACTGACAGGGAGTCTGATATGTGGTGGGCACTGAGGAAGCATAGAGAAATCAGCTCAGGTCCTGACCTTCAGAGCCGCCACTATTCCCAGAGGGGAGGGGAGTCTGAAAAGTGACCTTCCTAGGCCTGGAACCCAAAGTCCCATGAGGATTCCTACTCACAGCGACTCTCTTCCAGGGCCATGTTCTGCAATGACTTGAAGGAGAAGTACGAGAAGAGGATCATCATTAAAGGGGTCGATGCTGAGACCATGCACACCCTCCTGGACTACACGTATACCAGCAAGGCGCTGATCACCAAGCAGAATGTGCAGCGCATCCTGGAGGCTGCAAACCTCTTCCAGGTGTGTGAATAAACAGACTCAGTGTCCTTCTCAGAAGCAGGTGAAAGCAGCAATTTCCCCAGGTATTGGCCTGGACTGGCTCCCAGGCCAGTACCTGGGATGGACACACACACACACACACAGAGCTTATGTGTGACACTTGTGTGAGTTTTCTGGGAGGTTTTGAGATGGGGTGATGAGACTCCTTAATGAGATGGTGCCAGCAGTATTTATTGCCCACAACTGCATTTGGTTCCTGATGCCAGAAACAATGGCTACAGTTTGCCCAGCTGGATCTAGAAGCTAAAGTCAGTACTTTGTGTCATTACTTTGAATTCCCAGAACCCTGGGCAGGTGATTACTCTCCCTATTTTATGGATGGGAAAAGCAAGGTCACTTAGACAAGGCTATGATTTGGACCCTGAGCTTTCTGAGTCCAGGCACACATGTCTCTTTGGCAGCAGTGCCCTCATCCAGCAAGGAAGTGTCTGCTAGTACTTAGTGGTGGTTATGAATGAAGAGTGTGGAGAAATGAGGACTATAGAAGATAAGGTCCAGAACCCTTGGACGAATGGTTACTGCTTCTGTTCAGTTTGGTTTTCCAAACTAATTGTGACAATTATATTGACTAACAAAATGATTGGACACATAGAGCATATCAATTGTATCCCTAATTATCAAAGTGGTCCAATCTCTGCCACCCTTGTCTAGGTCTGAGATTCTACACTACTGAACCTCGTTCCATTGGGCTATCTCATGGTTTGGATGGTGGGATTTAGGAGAAAGAGTCCAAGGTGAGGTCAGGTCACTCCCAGGGGTCAAGGACAAGCTCCAGATCCTGTCTGTTTCTTGGGACATGGGATGGTAGTGTCTACTTGGGTCATCAGTGGGTTAGCAGTTGTGGAGAGCAGAAAATCGGACTCTGGGATGGTGAGGAATGAGGGGTCCAGGATCCAAGCCCATTGACTATGGATTGGCTTTGCTGAAGTTAGAGTGTGGCAGAATTTATGAAATCCAGCAAAGAAGGGAGAGTAGAAAGAAAAATCAACCATGCAACAGCAGCGATGAGCTCTGAGTAACAGGTTGCTGCCATTACAGCCAATTTCACTGACTCACTTTCCCCAACACGTCTGAAAGAGAAGGCTGCATTTTTTTCAAGAGACCAAATTTAATAAATGCACACAGTTTTATATATAATGTATCATCTAACCATGTGGAGCATTTATGCTTTTTTATACATTCAGATGTGTTTGAAACATTTTTAAAGGTTTATTCATATTTATTGGAAAGGCAGATTTGCAGAGAGACAAAGAGAAAGATCTTCTGTCTACTGATTCACTGCCCAAGTGGCTGCAATTGTTGAAGCTGAGCCGATCCAAAGCCAGGTGCAAGGAGCTTCCTCTGAATCTCCCATATGGATGGTGCAGGGTCCCAAGGCTTTGGGCCATCCCTCACTGCTTTCCCAGGCCACAAGCAGGGGGCTGTATGAGAAGTGGAGCAGCTGGGACATGAATTGGTGTCCATATGGGATCCACCCGTATGCAAGGCAAGGATTTAGCCACTAGGCTCTCATGCTGAGCAATTGAAACACTTCTTAAGGTTACAAGACAGAACATAGAGAAATAAACAGGAATATTTTCAACATTTACAGGAAGTGATATGATAAAGAATATGAAGTAATAGGATCTTTTCAACACTTCAGAAACTATATAATATATAACTATATATTATTATTATATATAGTTTTTGAAGTGTGTCTATATATGTATGTATGTACAAATATGTATAGTTTATCTTCCCACAAGTAGCATCACACATGGTCACATCTTCACATGCTTCTGAAGAGCTGGTTACTTCCAACATGGCTGGTTCTGCCTTCCCTGCTGACATCTCTAAGTCAGTTAACCCTCATGTGTCTTCCCCCTCTAATTCCCTCTGTCCTCACCTGCTCACGCTCTTGGCCTCATTGATTGGCAGAACATTCCTCCCTGGATGCAATGGAAGGTTCAGCAACCTCAGGCTCAGTATCCCCATCTCACCTCCTCCACCCTGCCCACCCTCTGCTTTAGCAAAGAAACCCCGGGGAAATCCTTCCCCTGACACAGGAATCTCCATCAGGTTCAGGTTTTTAGTTTTTTTCTGAACTTATCTCTAAAAGGACCAACAGTCTCTAGCACGTCATTGATTCATCATTACTCAGTGTAACCACAGTTGCCATTATGGTTTTCATGTAGTCCCTTTGCTGGACTGGTATAACAATGAACAAATAACACTGGTGATAAGAACGGTAATGGCATTTATTCCTTTGAATAACAGTGTTTGACATCAAAGTAGATGCTCAATGAATGCAAATTTTGACTGCTACATGCTTTGGGTGATGGAGGGGGAACCAATTCTTATGTTTCCTATTTGTTTTTCTGACTGAAAGCACGTGTTACCTATTAGGCTAAGGAGAAGTATTTCCTTTTTCCAAATGCAATTTTAAATTACAATAACATTGCAAACTCATTACAGAAAAGTTAGAAACCCATTCAAGCAAAATAAACATGAAAATGACCTATAATTCCCTCCTATTTGGAGAAAATATGACACTTCTTTGGGTATGTACACTTCAAGGTTCCTTTTTATTTTTTGAAAGATTTATTTATTATTTTTATTGGAAAATCAGATTTGCAGAGAGAAGGAGAAACAGAAAGATCTGTCTGCTGGTTCACTCTCCAAGAGGCCACAACAGCCAGTGCTAAGCCGACCCAAAGCCAGGAGTCAAGAGATTCTTCTGGGTCTACCACATGAGTGCAGGGTCCCAAGGCTTTGGGTCATCCTCCACCGCTTTCCCAGGCCACAAACAGGGAGCTGGATGGGAAGTGGAGTAGCTGGGACACTAACTGGCACCCATATGGGGTCCCGGCACATACAAGGCAAGGATTTAGCCACTAGGCTATCATGCCAGACTCTCCAGGGTTCCTTTCTAAACACTGACATGGACAGAGTGACAAGGAAGCACAGCTTTGGAGCTATGCATCTCCCAAGAGAAGAAACAACCAGTTTTGCTGGCAGTGATGGGAGAAGCAGGAGCAGTGGGCACCAAGGGAGGGGAACACTGGTTGCTCTGCAGAGCTTGTTCCAGAGAGAAGCAAGCCTGCTGACACCTTGATTTTGGACCTCTGACCTTCAGAACTGTGAGAGGATAAGTTTCTGAGCTATTTAAGTCTCCAAGTTTGTGACAATAGGAAGCTAATACAAACTAAAAAAGCTAACTAAAGCTAAAGGTCTTACAACAAAAATGATTACCTCTTGTTCTTGTTCTCTACTTCCACCCACACTTCTAGAACAATTACTTTACCTTGTTTTGTTTTGAAAAATTTATCTTTTAAATTACTTATTTGTTTATTTGATAGGCATAATGAGAGAAAGAGGGAGAGACAGAAAGTAGGAAAGGCAGCGAGAGAGATCTTCCATCTCCAGGTTCTCTCCCCAAGTGGCTGCAACAACCAAGAGCTATGAGCTCCAGCTTGGTTTCTCATGTGGGTTTTAGAAGTTCTAGCACTTGAACCACTTTTTTTTTTTTTTTGCCTTCCTTGGGGCGTTAGTAGGAAGCTGAATCAGCAGCAGAGCAGCTGGGACTTCAACTGGCACTCAAATATGGGAGGCCAGCATTGTTGTAAGTAATGGTTTAACTTGCTGTGCCACAATGCTGTCCTCTTTTCATGTGTTTTAAATGTGTATTGCGTTATTTGCTTCCATATTTTTAATGATTTATGCATTGTGTATGCACGCTCTCTCTCACTTTGCTTCAGTTTTAGATAGCTTGATTTTTTTTTTTCGTCCTGTTCCTAGTGGTTTCTCCTAAGGCCTCTTGCCTGCAGTTACCCTTGTCTTTCCTTTGCTGTCAATTTGAGAGTGCCTTTCACTCTTTTCTAAGTGGATTTTATGTCCCAGAATCCCATGACTGAATGTCTGTGTTCCCCTAAGATTCATGTGTTGGACTCCTAACCCACAGTGTGATGGTATCATAGCAGGAGGTGATGCCTTTGGAAGGTGATTAAGCTTTTATTTTTTTCCCTCTCAAGGATTTATTTATTTTTTTTTACTGGAAAAGCAGAGAGAGAGAGAAAGAGAGAAAGAGGAATATTTTCCATTACCTGGTTCACTTCTTGAATGGTCACAACTGCCAGAGCTGGGGGCTGGTCTGAAACCAGGAGCTAGAAGCTTCTTCCAGGTCTCCCATGTGGGTGCAGGGATCCAGTGACTTGAGTTGTTATCTGCTAATTTCCCAGCACATTAACAAAGAGCTGGATCAGAAACAGAGCAGCGGGAACACAAACCAGCACCCATATGGAGTGCCGGCACTTCAGGTGGAAGATTCGACTGATAGATTGTGGCGCTGGCCCTGTGGTTAGGTATTGAAGGCAAAGGGATTAGGTGCTGTCACAACGGAGACCCTTGGGAGCTCTTTTGCCCTTTTCCCATCATTTGGGTATAAAACAAGGAAACACGACTTACAATCCTGAATACTACCCTCTCCAAACCTGAATATACTGGTACCCTGAGCTGGGACTTCCAGCCCTTGGAATTGTGAGCAATAAATAAGTAACTTTCTATTGTGTAAAAGACACCCACTGTATGGTACCCCATTGTAACACCTCCAACTCATCATGACAGTAGTCTTCCTTTTCATGGATGCCTTCATTTGAAGGGTCCCAGCCTTCAATAGCTTGCTATGAAAGAGAATATAGGAGATAAATGTTTGGGATAAAATTGATGTTATACAACCTTCATAATTTGATAGTTTGGGAGTATGTTTGGAGATGTTGCTCCATGTTACAACTTACTGCATACATGTTTTATCAGAACACGTTTTTTTTTTATCAACGATTCCTAATTTTTAATTATGGAAAACTTTCATTATCTCTTTGATGACTTCTTTACGACTCTTTCATCTCATTTCTTCCCTGGAATCATCATGTAGGTGTTGGACTGCCTAGATTGATTTATTTGTTTACCTCCTCTCTTCTATTGAC